AGGTAGTGTTATAAGTTCAAGTGAAGATGAAGCATTATTGGGTAGTTATAGTCCTGCACCAGATGAAATTGAACCAGAACCACCAAAAGATCCACCACCTCCACCTCCACCTGATGATGATAGAATGTCATTAAGTCCATTAAGTTCAGGGGATGAAAAAATTGAAGAGGTAATAATAAAAATATTAAATGAATATAACTATATCTATTTATGTTTATTTATGTTTTTTTATTTAATATAGGTTATAGCTCAAACAGAACCTACGAGTCAGTTATATCCAGGAGCTGGTTATCCTGGACATTTAACTCATTATCCAGCCAATGATATGTATCATTGGCCAAGACCAGCACAATATCCATATCCCTATGGTACAACATATTTACAAAGTCATTATCAACCAAATACAACATCATTTTCTGGAACAGTAGGAAATCATCAAGGAGCAAATTATTATCCATCTTTTCAATCAAGACTTCATGCTATGGCAAATCACAATATTACAAAAGATAATCCACAAGTATATATATATTATCTTTTAAGTAATATATATCTATCTATAATCTAATAATATCTAAATATATATTTATCATTGTCAATTTAAGTATTACATAATTGAATTTTTAAATATTTAGGGTCCTACTATTAATGGGGTATTAAACAGAGTTGTAAATGAACTAAAACAAATTCTAAAAAAAGATTTTAATAAAAAAATGATTGAAAATACGGCATTTAAACTATTTGAAGTATGGTGGGATGAAAAGAAGTCAGAGAAAAGTAGAAATCAAGAAGGAGAAAATACCACTGTTAACAACAGTAATAAAGAAGAAGGTCAAAAACCTCAAGGATTATCACTACTTTTGGAACAAGGAACTCCACTTGGATTTAATTATGATGGATTTGGTTTGGGCATTAGAGCTAGCATGCCAAAGATGCCTTCTTTCAGGGTAGAATTGTTATTTTTATTATATAAGATTTTATTTTTAATAATATAATATATATGAATATTTAGTAATATAATATATAATAACTATAAAATTCATTACTTGTATTATTAGCGCAAAATTAAAGCTCCAAGCCCATTACCACAAGATGAAGATAGTCGTCAATCTGATCACGCTGATACGGAACTCATAGGAAGCGATAGTGATCTTGACTTAGCATCAGTGCAAAAAGTTAAAAGGCCAATTACTTCTCTTCCAAGTGTTTCTTCATCATCTTCCTCATCATCTGCATCAAGTGAAAGTAGTAGTGAGGAAATGAGTTGCAGTGAATCTTCTAATAGTTCAAGTGATAGTTCCGATGAAGAAGTATGTTCTGGAAATTTTGAAGATGAGGTATATAATTTATTAAAGCACAAATAATTTTTGTAAATATTCATCTATTATATTTTTTTTCATAAAAATAATTTTTATTTTCAGCAAGATACAGATAGTCATTTATCAGATCATCAGCCCTTGGCTTGCAACAGTGAAGATCCTGACATTTTAACAGAACTTGCAATTCAAAGATCATTAGACTGTCCAACTCCTACTGGTAGAGAGACACCAGTGCCTAACATTAAAATAAAAGATATAAGTTCAAATGAATTCCCACAATATGATGATGAAGCTAGCCCTGTATTATCTCCATTGGAATATGAAAGTGATAAAGAAAATAATGAAAAAATAGATGATAAATCTGTGGATAAAGAATATCTTGAAAACATTCGAATAGTCAATGAAGATACAGAAACAAAAAATGTGGAAGATGAAAAAATAAAAAATACTACAATAGTATCAGGTAAACAAGAATCATGTGATATGCAAAAAATGGAAAATTCTGCAGCAGAAGCTTTAATAACATTAGCTGGCCAAGATAATATTATAAGACATAGAAGTCCGGGACCTGTACAACCAAATATTATTAGAGCTCTTCAAACTATGTCTGCTAAGTATATTAACGATGAACCTATATTGAAAGAATCAGAAAAAATTGAAATGTTTAGTGAGATACCTACTACCGACTCGGAGGAAGAAAGCTTAGAAATTAGAAGATTACGGTTCGTAAATTTAAATAAAAATAAAAATATATTCATTATATATATTATTTGTAGTACATAAATTAACATAAAACGTGATATTATTCCGTTTTTGCATTAATTAGGTATCAGGCTGAAGCTGATCTTCGACTCAATAGCCAACACAGTCCAAAAAATTCACAAGCTTCACAAGTATTCATGGAACATTCATATTCATTGCCACCAACACAATCAGAAATTGCAAAATCTGTACTTCGTACGCCTTCAGCACCAATAAAACCTGTGAAACTTAAATCTTCAAAAATTGTAAAATTATCTAAGAACAAAGACAAAACACATAAAGTAGAGAAACGAAAATATAATAAATATACTAAAATGCGTATTCATCAAAATCATGAAGGAGAGAAAGAAAATATCGAAAATGAATATATTTATGAGAAATATCCAAAAAAAGTTGAGGAACCAATAGTTACATACAAAGAACGTGATCTTATGTCAGAAATGGCTATTTTGTATGAATTTTTAACTAGAGGAATAGACGCAGAGGATGTAGAATATCTAAGACGAAGTTACGAAGCTTTATTAGCTGATGATAGTCAAGGTTATTGGTTAAATGATACACATTGGGTTGATCATCCTCCAACTGATATACCAAGTCCTGCAAAACGAAGAAAAAGAGATGAACTTAGATTGCATACAAGCGGAAGTGCAAGAACAGAAGGATATTATAAAGTTGATGTACGTGAAAAAGCTAAGCATAAGGTATATATTTTTTATTTTAATAATTATTTAATCCAATTATTTAACTACAGATTACTAGTATGAAATTTTTTAAAGTTCAGATTTAAAAAAAAATGTTTTTAAAAGTCCATAGTAAAATATATATATCATATTTTCGTATTTAACTTTCATGATTACGAATTAATATAAAAAATAACTGTATTAATTTTAGTATAATATTAATTTTTGTATAATTATTAATTTTTTAATTTATTAAAATTATTTATTCTTTATAGCATCATTATGCGCAAAGTATACAACGAAGCAATGACGTTGAAGATAATAATGGCTCTTATGCCTCTGGTGATGGAACAATGAATGGTCCAAAGAATAATACTAAAGCTTTAACTGGTAAAATGCAAGCTTTATCTCGCGAAGCTCGAAGTAATCAACGTCGGTTATTAACAGCTTTCGGTATTGATACTGATAGCGACCTTCTTAAATTTAATCAGTTGAAAGTAAGAATTTAGTTGCTTCATTTTTGATTATAAACTATATTTAATTATTTCAAAAAATTTAATCTCATTTATTTTATTTTATAGTTTAGAAAAAAACAATTGAAATTTGCTAAATCTGGTATACATGATTGGGGTTTATTTGCTATGGAACCAATTGCAGCTGATGAAATGGTTATCGAATATGTTGGTCAAATGGTTAGACCAGTTGTTGCTGATTTACGAGAGTCTCAATACGAAGCTACCGGTATCGGTAGTTCCTATCTTTTCCGCATTGATTTAGATACAATTATTGATGCAACAAAGTGTGGAAATTTAGCACGATTTATTAATCATAGTTGCAATGTAAGTATTATACTAGTGCTTGTTTCATTTTTATAGAATATATTTTATAAATTTATATAATAATCCGAAAATTATATTATTAATTTTCACTTATTTTCAGCCGAATTGTTATGCAAAAGTAATTACAATTGAGAGCCAGAAGAAAATTGTAATCTACAGTAAACAACCAATAGGAGTTAACGAAGAAATTACATATGATTATAAATTTCCATTGGAGGATGATAAAATCCCTTGCCTATGTGGAGCTCCTCAATGTCGGGGTACTCTCAATTAAATCGTTTATAAAACTATATTGTTCATCCCTTTTCCTATCTTCTACATTTCATCATACCCTACTCATATTTTTGTAAATATTTCCCCATGTAAACATTTTATAAAATGCAATGGAAAAATGCTAAATTAAGTTAATATGAACTCCTTTTCTTTTTTAATTAATCCTTCTCATAATTATAATACGTTAAATATCTAAATGAACTTGGAAATCGTTATAATATTTATAATTTACAATTGTTTTTGTATATACGTGACTTAAGATTTTATTCCTATTATGTTTCTGTTAAAAATAAAATAATAATTTTTAAAAGTCCACATGTCGATCGATATAAGAGAATTTCCATTTTTTAATTCGATAGAAATATAAATATTTTTAAGAAATATATATATAAATATATAAAAAGAGAAATATATATATATATATTTCTATTTTTAAATTATATATATTTAGAGACATTTTTACTTCACTTGTGTGCATTCATGAGCTATGATCATGTGTGCAATGATGTGAAGTATTTACATGAATACATTCAGTACATAATGATTAATATGTTATCCGAGTATGTCGCTTTCATATTTATAATTTCTAATAAGTAATATTTTTCAAATAATTATTGAATGATATATAATTAATTCAAATATAAAAATAAAATAAAAAGTTTTTTTATTTTTCATCTTTTATCGATCAAATATATAATTTTAGAAATTGTTACATCTTTTTTCTTTGTGCTGGCCTATTCTGGATGCAACTTATGAGAATAAATTTGGCAACAGTGTACATCGATATAATTAATTTACTACAAATTAGCAATTTCACATTTTATGGATTTACGAAATTTCTTGCAATTTTATCAAATATTTGTTTTTAGTCATTGCATGGTAAACAAGAAGAAAAAATGAAATAATTATAATTCAATATAATAATGTGAACAACAGTGTAATTTTATTTACAAAATAGTTTAAATTTACTTTACTATATAAATTTACTAATATTAATATTTATTTATATTAATGTAAATATTTTAAATATAAATATTTAAAACTACAATCTCATACAAACTTTAAATTTTTACACTTCGCTTCTTTATTTAATTTTTAATATTCTATAACTTTTATTTATTAAATTTAATTATTAAAAAGATTATGTATATTTAGACTAATTTTTTAAAAAATATTATACATTTTTTATTTATTGTATTTTATTTATTGAATATTAAAATTCCGAATTAGAATTTCTGAATACTCATGGTTACGATTCAAATGAAAACGATGTTGCCATATTCAACATCATAAATTATATTTAAAGCTGCGGTAAATTTTAAGGTTAGTTAAAATCAGTTAATTTAAACATAAACGTTAATTTTTTCGAATGAGAAATTTCATGATCATATTTCATAATAAAATTAAATATTGTATTTAAATAAAATGATTTTAGAATAGTATTATTAATTATATTATAGGAAGAATATAGTTGTAAGGGTTATATTTGAAAAATATGGCAGATCGTTTAACACAATTGCAAGATACTATAAATCAGGTAATTCATTATAAAAATTATTAATATATAATTATAATATATATAATAATCTAATTTATATTTATTGTTCTAGCAAGCAGAACATTTTTGTAACAGTGTGGGTATTTTACAACAATATTCAATACCTAGTAAATTTGTTGATCGTGTTGGAACTCCACAACCACATCAACCTCAAGAAGGTTATATATTTATTTTTATATATAATTCATTTTTGATATTGATAGTTATTGTTATTTTTATATAAATAATATTTATATTTTAGATTATGCAGCCTTGTTTGCAACACTTATAGCAAGATGTGCAAAAGATATTGATACTTTGATAGAAAGTTTGCCAAGTGAAGAATCATCACAAGAATTACAAGTTGCAAGTCTTAGTCGGCTTGAACAAGAAAATCAAGAAGCTGGTGAACAGCTAGAAGAAGTTGTAAAACAAGGGGAAGCTCTTTTACAAAGAATTCAAGCTGCTCTGCAAGATATTGCTCAAAGTCAATTAGATATGCAAGATCCAGCATCCACATCTAATATTAATCTTAATACTAATTCTACTTTCAAACAAGAAAATATAAACTCTGTAAATACTGTATCTTCAAATAACACGCATCAATTACCAGATCCTATGCCTAATTCTGTAAATCAATGATATATTTTTAATATAATATTAAGAAAATTAATTCACTGATGATATATATTATATCAAAATATTAAAATGATAAAACAAATTTCAAAAAATATTTTATATTTGTAGAATAAATAGAAAAATATTAGTTATATGAAAATGTATTTAATAATTTACTTTAACGTAATTATATCTATAATTACATTAAATAGAAAAATTAAAATGATAATTTTTTTATTTCTATTATTTTTTAAAAAGATTTATAAATGTTTCTCTTGGTATACATATTCTTCCGATCATTTTCATCTTTTTTTTTCCTTCTGCTTGTTGAGCTAATAGTTTCATTCTTCTAGTAATATCACCACCATACTAAAATGAAAAAAATTAATAATAAAGATATGTGAAAGTATACAATATTCAATAAAAAAAATTGTTTACCAGTTTTGCAGTTACATCTTTTTTGTATGGTTTTAAAGTTTCTCTTGCAATGATCTTTCCATTAACAATTGCTTGAATTACTATTTCAAATAATTGACGTGGAAGAATATCTACTAATTTTTCACATATTTGTCTGCCCATTATCTGAACCTTGCTAATATGTACAATAGTATTAAGTTCTTCCACTATATTACCATTTAAAGCAATATTTAACTACAAAATATAATTATTAATTATAATAGAAATAAATTATAATTTAAATATAATGTTATTATATGAATATATTAAAATAATTATAATTACCTTTACAATATTTGTAGGTTCATAATCATAGTCTTCATAATCAAAAGTACCATATCCTGAAGTTGTACGTTTCAATGTATCATAAAAATCAATAATAATTTCGTTCAATGGCAGCAAAAATTGAAATAATGTTCTATTATGACCAATATCTTTTGTGAAATGTTGTATTCCTCTTTTTTCAAAACATAAAGTCATTACTGTACCCATATACTCATCTAGAAAATAAAAGATATACAATTTTTTTTTAACTTAGCTATATAAACTATGTTGTAAAATTTGATAATTAAACATACTTGGTGCTATAATAGTTCCTAATACTATAGGTTCATAAAATTCTTCTACAATTTGAGGATCAGGAAAATTTGCAGGATTATTGAATGAAATCATATCAGTTTTGTACATTTTAATATTCTTTTTACCAATAATTTTTGCTTTATATGTAACACTAGGAGTTGTAACAACTGAAAGTGCACCATATTCTTGCTCTAATCTTTGCATAAATACTTCCATATGTAATAACCTAAAAATCCAATTCTCCAACCTTGACCAAGAGCTACACTAAAAATTTAAAAAATTTTTAGTAAGACAAAATAAATATATATAAAATTACTTTATATTCAGTACTTATAAGCCTTTTTTATCTTACTTATTTAATAAATTTGAAAAATATCATTAAAAATACCTAGTTTCTAGTGCAACAGAAACACTACTATCATTTAATGTTAATTTTTCAATAGCAATTTGCATATTATGAAATTCTGATTGATCAATTGGATAGACACCTGAAAAAACCATTGGTTTTGGTGATTTAAATCCTAATAAAGGTTCAGTAATTTGATTTTTTATATGTAATGTATCTCCAATAAATATTTCCTTGGAAGATCTCATATTACATGAAATACATCCAATTTGACCTGCAAATCTTACATCAAAGACAATCATATATTAATATATTAATATTATTAATATATTAATATAATTATATAATTAATGTATTTTTATAAAAATACTTACAATTTATTTACATATTCTTCAGAGGGTCTCAATAACGAAAGATTTTTAACTTCATAAGATTTTTTAGTATACATTGTAGTAATATGTTCTTTTATAGATAAAGATCCTTCTTTAATATATATCAGTAAAATTGCTCCTTTATATTTATCATACCAACTATCAAATATCAAAGCTCTGAAGGCTTTGTTTCTATATACATTAGGTGGTGGAATTCTTTCAATTATAGCATCTAAAATCTTATGTACTCCAGTGCCTAATTTAGCAGATATTTTTAAAACATCTGACTCTTTTATACCAAATAATATTTCTAATTGATTTATAACTCTATCAGGATTAGCATATTTTAAATCTATTTTATTAATTACAGGTATTATAACTAAATTATGTTTAATGGCTAAATGAAAATTAGCCACAGTTTGTGCTTGTACACCGTCATTTGCATCTATTACTAAAATTACTCCTTGACAAGGAGCTAATGAACGATGTACTTCAGCAGAAAAATCAACATGACCAGGTGTATCTATTAAATTAAGAAGATAATTGATTCCATTGTATGTATAATTAAGGGATGCTGTTTGAGCTTTAACTGTAATTCCACGTTCTTTTTCAACTTGTAGTTTATCTAATATTTGTTTGCCAGAATTTATTTTTATTGCACCTGTTATTTCTAAAAGTCTATCAGCAAGTGTGCTTTTACCATGATCAACATGTGCAACAATACTAAAATTACGAATATTTTCTATTGGTATTTCATATTCATTAGTAACTTGAGAGTTTGTACAATAAGAATTAAAATGATGTTGCCTGTAAATAGATTGTCTATGCTCGAATATATAATTGACATTAAGTATTAAATAATTTTTTATTTTTTTATTTAAAATATTCTCTTCTCGTCTATTTTATATTTAAATATATAATATAAAGATATTTTTAAAAAGCTAATTAATACTAACCTTATGAGTATTTGAGAAAGATTATAATTTCGACAAGAATACGATATATAATAAATAAATTTTTTTATCTTCATAATGAACTAATAATCGTTGTTTATTAAATATTTTTAACATTAAAATTGTATTAAAATGTATAAAAATTTAAATATAATAAATTGTATTGTTTTTTATTAATATAATTATTATTTTAAATTCTATTTATATATAATAAATAATATGTTTTAAATCCTAATTAAATTTTAATATATTTACATACTAAAATGATTGTATTTCTGTTACACTACTATCTTATTCTCCATCTTGTTTTATCATACGAACTACTTATAACTTAAATAAGCTTCGACATTTTTGTAAATCAATTTTTATATTTCTTTTGGCTTCTAAAATTGATATTATATAGTTAATTTTATAAATTCTATATATATATTATAAATAATCATTTTTAAAAAATTAGAAGTTAAAAAACATAGATGCTCAATAAATTTAATTCAATACAGTATATAAAAATTTGATGTTCTTGATACGTTTTAATAATTCATTTTTAAATATTTTCATACAATAATATTTTTCTTAAATATTAATAAATAAAAATAAGTAAAGCTTAAAAACTAAAATAAATATAACAATATAAATAAATTAAAGTTTTTTTATTTAATTGCAAATACATCATTATAATCATTTTATTTTTGAGTGGTAGGTGCTGATTGACTGGATGATTTAGAATCCCGCATAGAAGCACTTCTTCTTCGTTTTAACTCTTCTTGGCGTCTATTTTTTGCTTCTTTTTGTCTTTGTGCCAATAATTTTGCATATTCAGCTGCTTGTTGTTTGCGAGCCAAACTACGCCTTCTCTTCAAAGCCAATCGATGTCTTTTTCTCTATAAAAATTTTTGTGTTATAATTCTAATTTTGTAAAATTAACAAAAAATATAATATAATAAATAATAATATATATATACCTGTAAAGTAAGTGGGGTAATAAGGCGTTGTATTTTGGGAGCTTTAGAACGTGCTGGTTTACCTTCTTTCTGAATTGGTCGTTTTACAACGAATCGACGTACATCATCTTCTTTAGATAAATTGAACAGTTTACGAATTTTACTTGCTCTTTTAGGTCCCAAGCGTCGTGGAACATCTTTGTCAGTTAAATCTGGAATATCCTGTAAAAATTTAATTAAAAAAAATATGAATCAATCATTATATCTATATACTTGTTTATAATTCATATAATTCATTAATATATGTATCATTTGTACACTGAGAAAAAATAAAAATCATATAATATAATTTCTCAAATCAAGAAATGATATTTAATATCCCATGTCTACGATAATATCATAAGATAATAAAGAAATTCTTAGATATACCCTAGGAACATGGTCATTAGATAAAGAATAAGAAAAAATTTAATACTTTTTCTCCCTTCTTGACAATAACAAGTGCAAGTACTGAGAGGTTAGAATCAACAATGCATCCACGAACAGATTTACGTTTACGCTCGCCATCACGTCTAGGTCTGTAGCATGAATGTCCTTTTGAAAGTAATAAACGCACACGTCCTATTCGTAATAATAACATATTAATATTTCTATAACTAATAATTTTATTATAAATTCAATCATTAAACTAATTTACAAAATAAATTATTTAAATTATTTATGGAACTGATATAATAAAAATTGCAATAGAAAATGTTTATCTTACCATTTGTTAAAACACCTTGTTTCATAGGAAATCCTTGTTTATCATTACCACCAGAAATGCGAACAACATATCCTTTCCATTCGTTACCTAAAGCATCAGCTTCAACTTCAGCGCCCATGCGCTTTTCGTAAAAAATTCTAAGTTTATGTTCATCTGAGATTTCAAATAATTTCTGACATCCTGTTGCAGGATAAGATACGTTCAGCTAAAGAAAACAAATACATTAAAACAAAGATTAAATTAGTTTTATCAAATTAGTTCTACAGCTATAATACATTAACAACGAAATTCGTAAATTTATATATTCTATGTAAAGGAAATTTAAGTTATTTTTATTTTTTATTTATATGATTTATTTATTTACTTATTAATAATATTAAAATTAAATAGAATTACTTATTTTATACACTTGGACAATAATGCATATACATAATAGGTATATACATAGATATTTCTACAATTATATATATCTAAAATTGTTCTTAATATTTCAAAATATAAATTTTCTTATTAATTGTTCTTAATATTTATATAGATTCTTAAAATATTTTTGGATACGTACCTTCATTGTGACAAATAATCACAAGCCATGAACAGAAAGAACGTTCCTCACCTCAGTGAACACTAGAGTGCGCATATCGGATATCCGGTTTAAATATAATAAAATTTTAAAATGAAAATAGTAATAAATAAATTTTTAATAAATTTCTAAATATAATCGCATTAATATTTACTTATTTATTGAAATTTTAATTTAAATTTATAGTATTCAATTAATTTATTAATAAATTATATTTATTTTATACATAAATGTAAAATTAACAAGTTTTCTTTAAAGAATTCAAAATCACTAAACACATTATATTATGTAAAAGATAAATAAACACCAAAATTATATTTTTATTCAAAATATATAATTATAAGTAAATGTTAAGATGTATTTTATCAATAATATGTTATATGTTGGTTTAATGAAAATAATTAATTATCTTAATAATACATTTAAAAACTGAATAAGTACTATTTTAATATAAATAAATAATTTATTAATTGAAATAGATTATAATTTGTAAAATAGTATAAAAAAAAAAATATCAAGAAAAGAATCACATCTTACGCGTAATAAGGTGGTTCACACTACACAATAACTGTCACCACCGTATATTATAAAAAAAGAAAAGAACAGGAGGGGGGCAGCGTTCTGAAATGCCGACTTGCGGGCGTGTGTGACATTTTGATGTAGAGTGTCTGATGATTTTCGTTATGTATCGATTTAATACATAGATATTTACGATAAATGGAGTTTACCGAAAATAGTTCTACAACCCCCATATAAGATAGGTAATATCTGGATGTGTATGATTAATATTCTCTTGTAGGTTAGGAACTGTTCACCCGGAATAAGGGAAATGATAATTTATTTGACGAAAATAATATAACAATAGAAGGTATTTGATTTCGCGCAATGATCTCTTTTTTAATATAACTAAATAGAAATAATATTTGTGATTTTTTATAATAAAATTAAACATCAGAAAAGAAGATATCATTAGCACATGTTCATTAAGTTCAGTTGATGATTTTCAAAGGAAAACAAATAACAGTCAGTAATTTAAATTTAATATAAAAATAAAATATAATAATATTTTATAGGAAGATATGGATGCTGCAGTGATAGAAATCCTTCAACAAGCGGGTAGTCAAGATCCTAATATTTTAAAACCAGCTGAACAAACTTTAAAGCAATGGGAAACTGAAAGGGGATTCTATACTGCATTATATGTAAGTTATAAATAAATAATAATAAAAAATCTTATTATATTATAAAGATTTATTTTTACATTTTTATAATAATAAATTATATTATAAAATATTTATATATTTATTTATTTATATAAAATTAATTTAGGTTATGAAAGATTTTATAGTTATAATTAATAGATGTATATATAATAATTTGATATCAAGTAAAATATTAATAATTATTTCAGAATGTATTTTCTAATCATTCCTTGAGTATCAATATTAGATGGATGGCTATTTTATGTTTTAAAAATGGTGTTGACAGATATTGGAGAAAAAATGCTCCAAAGTAAGTATTTTTTAATGAAATTAAGTTATACTACTATGATATTAATATTTTAAAAATATTTAAATATAAATTAACAAAATAATATAAATTATTACAGTGGAATTGCAGATGATGAAAAGGAATTTCTTAGACAACGTTTAATAGCTAACTTTGAAGAACCTGTAAATCAAATAGCTGTTCAATTGGCAGCTCTTATTGCCAAAATTGCAAGGTAATTGATATTAAATAATTTGAATAAATATTTATTTCAATTTCAAAGCAAATTAAATGAAGTAATATTGTACAGATATGATTGTCCTAGAGAGTGGCGTTCGTTAATTCCAACATTATTAGATGTTATAAGAGGACAAAATCCTTTGGCCCAACATCGGGCACTGTTAACATTACATCATGTTGTTAAGTCTTTAGCCTCTAAACGTTTAGCTCCAGATAGACGACTCTTCCAAGAATTAACCATTAATGTGTTCAGTTTTATTCTGAATTTATGGAATACATACACAGAATCTTTTCTTATAATGGCATCAAATGGAGCAGATACAAATCAGATACAAGAAGCTTTAGAAAAAGCATTACTTTTATTAAGAATACTTAGAACACTTATTGTAAATGGATTTAATAAGCTTTCAGAATCTCAGGATGCTATGTCATTTTTAGAAATTGTTTTTGAACGTGCAAGAACCTGTCTTGAATGCCGTTAGTACTTTTTTTTTTATACAAATTATAATATGTAATATTTTTTCTTTTAATAACAATGCTTTCATATAATTGTAGGAAAAACATTAATATCAAGAGGTATAGAGATGGAAGTATGTGATAAATTCATAATTCATTTGACTAAAGTATTAATAGGAGTATTAGAAATGCATCCATTTTGCTATGTAGAACTAATACCAACTTCCTTAGAATTTTCTGTTTTTTATTGTTTTACTGAAGCAGGTCAAGCTTTAGCTTTTGAAAGATTTGTTATCCAATGTTTAAATTTAATGAAAGGTATTTTGATATCTTCTTATTACAAACCAGCTAAAGTTCTTGAAGGTATGTATAATGTTTATTATTTTGTAAACTTATGAATGTAATTCATTAAACTTAGAAATTTATTGATATAGATACAAAAGATCCATTAACATTAAGAGCAAATCAGTTGAGACAAGAATTTTTTACACCTGAAACATTAACTGAAATTTGTTCAAGACTTGTAACACATTATTTCCTTCTAACTCCTGCTGAATTGGAATTATGGGATACAGATCCAGAAAATTTTGGTAAATATTTATATATATATATATATATATATATAT